ACCATTAAGGAGTTCTTTGTGATTAAATCCAGTGAATGTTCTTAATTCTCATTTTTATTTAATTCACTGAACATTGGACTTCACCTTTATTTCTGTCAATACTCATACATGTCACTCTCTTGAAAGTTCTTCCCCATACCTTTATCTTCAAAAGAATTGAGTTAGTGAGTTTGTACATATTTTGCCACAAGACTAGCAGAACAGTGAAAAGAGAAGATGTCTTAGTGACTGACAAAAAAAAAAAAAGCCAGAATTTCATGACTGTGACTTTAAATGGAATATTTTCCACATTTGATTGTTGGAATCAGAGAGCAAAAATCACTCAATGAATATAACAGCATTGTGTCTCATTCATTGTGTCTCATTTCAACCTGGGAAATAGTTTGACAACTTCTAAAAAAAAAGTAACACATAAAAGATTGATTTATTACATATATGTAAGTAAGACATCACATTTGTAGAACAAATTTTGCCTGTTACTCAATTTGTAAGAACCATGATAATTTCTGTTTATTCTCCCAATAATTAGCACTGTGTTATTTTAAGAATAGATAGCTTGTTAAGTGTATATGCCACTACATATGTAATAATAAAGAGAGATTAGAGATATACATCATAAAATAAAAATTTAAAAGTGGATTTTAAAAAGAGAAAAAATAGGTAAAACTAAAGAAAGTGGAAGTATTATTTATGGAATAGTATGCAAAAAGATGAATGAGAATCTGAAGAATGAAGACCCATAGAAAGTACTAAAATTTGGAATACCACACTTTGGATGTTTTATTTTCTGAGAATTATTTGAAAATCCTGGACATGCATACTTTTATGGGCTAGTTTTAAAAAAAGATAATCTAAAATGGTATTCATCTTTACCTCTTTACCTTTTTATTACTTCTCCTTCCTTTTGAATATATGCATATATACAGCATGAGCATAAAAAACTCTGAAATGGGCATGGATAATTATACTGCACATTTGCATATTTGGTAGAAAAGAGAGAATAGAGGACTTCTCTAATATGAGATGCAAATCAGAAAATATATGTGATTTAATGGCAGATTAGCATCATTTATTTTTATATTCACTGCATTTTGTTATTTTTAATAGAATTCCATTTGCCAGGATTTGGCTCCAAAATGTAAGTTATTTAACAGATATCATTAGGTTGCTAAGCATTAACACTTAATTATCATATTAATAAACAGTTATTACTCTCTTCTACACTGAGCCTTGCCTCCGCTACATTAGCATGCATGCACTGCTCTTAGGCAACTTAATTGTCCTTAAAGGAAATCATTACAATTTAAATGAAATTGGGAGCTACTGGTTAGGGAAGGCTGTAGGGCATGCACAATACATACTAAACAAGGAACTGTAATTTCCCCAAATCACACTTTTTTTTCAGTAATTTCACATCACAGCACTATATCTATTTGGTTAAGGGGAAAACAGTTTTGTTTTTTGTTTTTTTTTTTTTTTGCCTTGCAATTTTTACAAGGGCACCATTTAACCAAGGACATGCAAGACTCTGGAATGGTAGCAAAAGAACTTGAGTAAATCAAATAATTTTCTTTGCAGCTGGTAAACTGTTGTCAGCATTTGCGACAGCGAATGAAGCAATAAAGTATAGCATGGTGGGGAGCCATCAACCACCACGGCTGCCTCTAGGATGCAGGGCAACAGGAGGCCAAAGACTTTATGCAGACAGCTGTTGCCTCTTCCCATATGTGATCATATTTGTGCACTTCACAGCAACATACTTCTCATGCTGACACAAAAATGGGGAGTAGGGTCATTCTCCTGTGTCTTGGTATCCCCTTTTCATAATCAGAGGCTCAGTTTTTACATCTTCAATCATAAAATGATTTAGTTAGTGATTTGAGTCAAACACTCTCTCCACTAGAATGCAAAGAGCTTAAATATCCCTGGACTCTTATTTTTGATAGATAATTAATCAATGTTTTACACAAATTTAAACAGCTCTTCATTTTTAGTGAGTGACTCATGATGAAAACAAGGATTTAATTCACATGGGTATTTAGTATTTTCATAATAATTAGTAATCAACTGAGAGTTAACCTTATCAGTGTCCAACTTTATGGGAATACATGTGGAATCTTAGCAAAATGAATGGACAGGCCTTTTCTGAAATCTATAAAGAATAAAATAAGTATTTAAAATGTCCAAATTACAAGGCAGGACTGTCAGATGTTGATGAATCTGGAATTAGGTGCCTACTAAATCTACTGTAAATGTTGTCTGTCATTGACACAAGTTGAATATTTCTATGTAACATGCCAGTTAGGTAATTCCATTTTGCATCTTAGAAAACTGAGTTCAGAAAAGATTTATTAACTTTGTCTGCCTCTCATAGATTTTATTTTTTATTTTTATTTTTTAAAGATTTATTTATTTATGCATACAAGAACTGGGGTACAGGTGAGAGGTGTGTGTGAGGGTGAGAGGATTCACCAGAGACAGAATGGGGAGCAGAACAGGCAGATGTACTGAAATACACTGCTGAGGGGAGCAGTGGGCAAGTCAGGAGAGGTCTGCTATGCCATGTGGGTAGCTCCCTGGCCAGGGATCAAAATCGTGCTGCAGTGGCTGCAGATAGCTTCAAAGGTTGCGTCTTAACCCCTTGTGCCACCAGGGAGGCCCCTCTCATAGATTTTAAATTATAGCATAAAGCTTAGATCTCAGGTTTGTCTGTCTTTTGAGCACATATTCATACTTGAGCACCTCATAATTTCCCCTGATACTTATGTTATTGCCACAGACCATCCTGTTACATACTACTTTCTATTAATGTGGGAGGAAAAAACTGACTTAGTATGATTGCAAAATAGAGAGACCCCCTCCTTTTAGATGTGAAAAACATACATAAGTGGAGTGTTCATCATGACAGAAAACTGTGTATTGTCTGTACTTGACCAAAAGACCCTCGGGCAGGCCAAAAAGCAACTGTTTCTGGAACACTTGTTTGAACCCAGTAGGAGAATAGGTATTCTGATCATCTTGCCAGTGGATAGAATCAGTATCCAATTCTGTATTGCCAAAATAGTTTAAGTTTGTAACATTGCTAAAAGAAACAGAAGACACAAAGAAATGGAAAGATATTCCCTGCTCTTGGATAGGAAAAATCAACATTGTAAAATGGCCATCCAACTCAAAGCGATATGCAGATTCAAGACAATCCCCAAAAAATCCCAATGGACTTCTTCAAAGAAATAGAAGAAATATTAATGCAATTCATATGGAACCACAGAAGTCCCCCCAAACCAAAGCTCTCCTGACTAAAAAGGGAAAAAAATTGAGTTATCACTCCTCTAGATTTCAAACTATACTATAAAAATAGAATAATTAAAACAGCATGGTGCTGGAAGAAAACACACAGACCAATGGAATAGAGCTGAGAGCCCAGAAATAAAACCATACATTTATGGAAAACTAATCTACAACAAAGGAGAAAACTATATACACTGGAAAAAGGAAAGCCTCTTGGGTAATGATAATGGGAATATTGTACCGCCACAAGCAGAAGAATGAAATAGATCACTATCTCACCTCTTACATGAAAATAACATGTTTTTTAAACCACTTACTTCATTTTCACTTTTTTACCCCATAATTAGCCCCGTACCCCAATGTTTACCATTTCTCAGGACACTTCAGGTTTTTTTTTCCTTTTTTAACCTTAATCTGTGTACCCCACAGTGTAATACTTCAGTCCCAAATAAATGCTTATTCACCTCTTATTTTGTCTTTTTATTTTTAGGTTAACAGGTAATATTAGTTATTGCATTTTATGTTCTTTTCCCATTAGTAGAAATAGTTTCATAGTAAAATCATATTATGGTAGCTTTTCATCAAGTTTTATCTTCTGTTTTCATAGGAAGAAATAACTAAATTAGAAGGCAGAAGTGAAAAATGAGCACTTGGAGACTGTGATTTGTAATATAAAGGTGAGTCACCTTCTAATAATGTTTCTGTATTTATTGGTGCTCTTTTGGTGACTGCTGAATTTTCAGATATGTCATCAATATTTCCCAAACCATATTCCAAAACCATCAATATGGACTATGTGCTCACCAGAGTATGTGAGTTTGAGTGTCATGTTTTGTCCTCTGAACTTCAAGTTTCTTACTTATAACATAAGGATAATAAGCATAAGTTTTAAAGGGGATGAACTAGATGCTCCTAGCTACTTATACATACATATACATACATACACATGTAATGTATGACTGTAGGTATATATACATTTGGTCATTACTGATATAGCTACAAAAGAGGTTAAGAAAATTATAATTGGAACTAGATAGTCATGAGTCCAGCTAAAAGAGAAAGAACTTATTACTGAAAGAGGAGACAGTTTGCTTTACTGCTTTAATATTTTTAGCTTTCATTTCTCTAAATCATTACCACTCATTATATACATTCATAATTGCTTAAAGCTTTTTTTACATTTCTTATCTCCTCTCTCTTCTTTTTCCTTTCATGTGTCTAATTTTATTTCTTCACTTCTATTTTAATGGGTTTGGGGAGCAAATAAAAACTCATGTATTCATCCTTCCATATTCAACTGAAAGATACTTGCTCAAGACAACAAATCTTTACATTCTATATAACTGATCATGAAATATTATACAGGTTAATGTCTGTTCTTCCCTGAAAAAGCTTTTCCGTCACTTCTTATTATGTAATAATTATGTAGTTATAATCTATGCAATTATGCATTATATAGTTATGCTTTATAAAGCTGTCGAAAAAGTGAATTTGCAAATACTGAGCCATTACCCCAGGAGGAAAATACACACACACACATACACACATACATGTATTTATATATACACGTGTGTGTGTGTGTGTATAAATACATCACTGTTTTAGATTATAATCTTAAATCCTAAAAAACAAATCAAACATGTAGATTTTATTTTCTTTATTTTTCAGCAAAATAAAATAAGGTTCAGAGTGTTAAGTGACTTGCCTGAAGCTGTCCCACTAACAGGTCCAAGAGATAGGATTTGATTCTCATATGTGTGCTGTAGTTTCTTGAACTTCACTCTGCTACCCCCTGCTGTCTCCATCTTCTAGGATGATGCAGCTGAAACATGAAGACAAAGTTGTGAATGTGGATGTCATCTCAGCTATAAGTATGCATGTCAGGTAACCCCAATTTTTTTCTACTCTGACCATGTTTGCAAATGATTAGGAAAGCACCATAAGCATTGCTTTGGAGGTTACATATAAGTTTTACCAGGTAAATGAGTTCACAAATACAGAATCTAAGTATAATGAGGATTGACTGTAAATTGTTGCTGAATACTTCTACCTACAACATTTATGCTGTCTAGTATATTAAATTTAAAGTTAAGGGAGAAATAGGAAAAGCGTATGCCTGCTCCATCATCTCAGAAATGGAATCTCAATCCCTCTTTTATGAGAACAGAACTTGTGATTACCTTACCTCTTAAGAGCCTACTAACACAAAATATTATAAATTTTAACTAGGATTTTTTTAGATAGAAAGTTCTTTCAGAGTACCTGCACTATAATCATACTAGACTATAAAGTGGTAGAATATATTTTGGAGTATTTTCAGAAAATTGAAATTTCTGGCAGATAAATCTAGGGACTATTAGTTATTTAAATCCATTCTTCTGAATTTTTGTTTTTCTTTTAACAAGTGATTTATATGTTGTCATAAATCAATGATTTAGCAATATCACTAACCAGGAAAATCTGTAATCATTTATCCCTACACCATTTTTGGAACTGGACTAAAGACTTCTTTGATAAGGATTACTGATATAAATGTATGAGCATGATCTATTTGGGGAAATTAAATTCATAACAATATCTATACCTTTACAGTTATTATTTCACAATGATAGGATTGCATATCCTGTGGATTATAACTAATTTCAATGTTATCTAGTTAAAATATAGAACATGAATAGGCTTTTAGAAAGATTGAAGGCATTTTTCTTATTATTGAATAGTATATGGCTTTATCATATTTAAAAAATTAAGATTCATACACTCTGCTGTAGTTAATCTCTGGAATCTTTTTCTAGTTATAGTCACAATGGTAAAATCAGCTAATGCTTTTATCTCCCAAATTCCTCTTTCTTTTTCAGCATCAGAAATGTAGGTCCTGTTTGACAGCATTTCTATTACACGTATTCCAAAACCATCCTCTGCTTCATCCTTTCAAACACTATGTAGCTTTTTACTGCCCAGGGTGTGCTTCTTCCTCTTCATCCCATATTATGTTCTATTCCTCAAATTCCTATAAGTCACTTAAACCACAATCTTCTAAACAACCCCAACTTCCTTGTTCCTTAACCTTTCTGCTACATGGACTGGCAAAGTTTAACCCTTAATCAATCCAGCTGTCCATTACCTCTATTTCTTCATTCAGGTTGTTGAATTCTCTTGGGGAAAATCACTCAGTTGTATGAATTTATTTCAGTAAACATTCCTTGCCTGCATACTCAGCTGGAGATTATAATTGTTTGAAATATGTATTATATTTATTTATACTCCGTTACTAAACCAATGTGTTATACATTCCAGGCACTTAAGAAATGCCACCTGACGGACTGAATTTGTCCTGGAAAGCTTATTTATTCAATATTATTCTATTGTAAGTTTGGTACATTTCACATTTCTCAATTGTGAATTTATTTTAAAAACATAGTTATCACTATGTTTAACACATTATAGGACATTTTAATGTAAATGACCTTTAAATTACACCACTGGTTGTCCTCACTTTACTTATCACTTTCTCCTCTCTTGCTGCCTCTGTCAATCAAGAAATTCACAAGGCAGTTCCATATTCACTGGCATTTTGTTTTCCTGACTTGCAGCACATTATACCTCTAATTAAGTCTCTGTGTTATTTTAGTATTTCGCTTGTTTGGCTCAATCTCTCTCTTCTTTTCAGGTTAAATGTTGTAAACAGAAAGCAAGTATAATAACTGCCCAATCAAATTATAGAAAGAATGCTGAAAAGGTCAAAACAGCAAAATACACTATGGTAATTTATGTAATGTAGAACGTATTAAAATGTTGGCCTTCATTGGACTAAAAAAAGAAAAATGCAATGGCAGGATAGAAATGACACAGACAATTCAGAGTGAAGTCTTATCTTCTGCCTGGCAGGGATTTATCACCATTGTTCCCCCTGCCCTGGGAACATTTTTCCCCTGATTCAGACAGAAAGTCATTCCTGTGCCACTGGCAACCTCCCTCTAGTGTACGCTACCCATTTGTTCTAATGAAGGAGAAGGAGCAGGCTAAATACTCCTGGACTTGTGAAACCCTTGTAGACCTCATGTTTCCTCCTGTGTGAGCATTTCTTTCTTTTACAAGTGCTGCTTATTAGACTGACAAAAAGCTTCCTTGTTTAGGCTCTAGAGTCATATGATGTATTGGCCTTGGCATGAGCCATTTTAACAAAAGCTAGTACTTACAAATAGATGCAGAGCAGGTCGGAGTATTGCCATTGCCTACTAAATTGACATGAATTTGTAATGAAGTGATGAGAAGCTCTCTGGTTACTCCTATTTAGGTAGTCGGTTTTGAATACAGATATAATAAGTATAATGTTACAGTGGTATGGGAATATACACTGAAATGACTAAAGTCTTGCATTTTTCTTATTCTCATTTATGCAAGGATAACTTCTTTATTTGGGAAAAAATATATAGATTGATGCAATTTTGAGTCAAGCGCAAGGCATGTAGCTGCACATCTGTTATATTTGCCTTGATGTGGTTAGCTAAAGTACAGAAAGATCAATTTACAGATGTGTTAGCTAAATATATTACCTTATCATTATTGATTATTGGGTTCCTATGGGAAGCTGAATCAAGATGGAGTTTTATATGCAGGATTTTCGTTCAGGTTGGCCCTTGGGATCAATACTTCTGGGACCATGGAATGAAATACAGATGATCAGAGACAGAAGTCAAGCTCCAGGCAAGACTTGGCTGAACCCATGGCTTTTTTTGAAAATTGAGGAGGTTTTTCTAGTTGTCCTTAAATTGGTTGAGGGAGCCAGGCCTCTATCTTCCCAATGAGAGTAGTCATTGGGTCTATGTTGACATTGATGGGACTTGTCCTTAGACAAAGTAACTCTTTACAAATGAGTCATTAGATGAAAGGACAGATAACTAACCTCCTGCTTTACCTCAAAAAGCTGGTTCAATGTTTTCCTCACTGCAGATGTGGATAATGACTAAATTCTTTCTGATGCAATATGAATAGTTGAAGTAATCTGTGAAACATCTGTCTTGCTCAAAAGGAAGTTGCCTGTTCAGTTATATATTCATATTTCCATAAACTGAAATATATCTTGAAAATGGTTTCTTTGACATTCGTAGTTGAAATTGATACTGTAGAGGAGAAAAGGGTTACAAAATAGTAAGTACCTGGGTTTCTTCTTGGGAAGAAATTCACAGAGATTTCAGTCTATACCACTCCCAAACTTCGTGTGAAAGAAATAAGTTTTATTTAAGCTCATGTATATTCTGTGTGCTACTGTAATCAGTTTAGTAGTTCATTAATACAGAAAAGGAAACAGGGAAATGAAGATTTTTTTTAAGATTTATTCATTTATGCATACAAGGACTGGGGTACAGGCCAGAGGTGCAGGGGGTGAGAGGATTCATCAGAGAGCGAGAGAGAGTGGGGAACAGAACAGGCAGATTGACTGAAATACACTGTTGAGGGGAGCAGCAGTCAAATCAGGAAGGTCTGCTGAGCCATGTGGGTTGCTCCCTGCCGGCTAGGGATCCAACCGTTTCTGAGAGGCTGTGGACAGTTCCACAGCGCTGCGCTCAACCTCCTGTGCCACCAGGGAGGCCCTGAAATGAATTATTAAAGGGCCTCCCAGGTGGCACAGCTGGTTGAGCGCAACACTGTGAAGCTGTCTGCAGCTTCTGCGCCTCTGACCTGTACCACAGTTCTTTTATAAATAAATAAATCTTAAAAAAAATTATTAAAGAAAAACTCAATTCATGTGTCAGTGGCACTGCTATAAGAAAGTGCCAAGTGATGTTATGAGTATTCTGCTTGGAACAAGATGGCTTTTGGTAAGATATACCAAAAAAACTTGTAAATCTATCACCTGTACTAATTTCAGTGACAGACTATATGCTTACCAATTCTGTAGTTTTACTAGAACTTGTTAGATATAGTCAAACTGATGATTAGTTTGGCTTTCTTTGATGTTTTAGCAAGTTACTAATAAAAGAGCCGAGATCAGGCAAGAAATGAAAATTTTTGCAAACCTGTGCAGAAGAAAATTTAGCACGGCTAAGAGAGCAATCTCTGCCTGCGATTAGCAATCACATTGACTGAGCAACCAATAATCTGGATCTTAAAAGTATTAAAATGCAGGGCCTCCCCTGGTGGCCCAGTGGTTGAGCGCTGGGTTACGAAGTTGCCCGCAGCCTCTGCAGCGCCGGTTCGATCCCCGGCTGCTCCCCGGCCACCAGAGGAGGGTCCCAAATGGCGCGCAGACCTCTCCTGCCGCCCGCTGCTCCCCTCAGCAGTGTACTTCGGTCCTTCTGCCTGCTCTGCTCCCCGCTCTAGCTCTGGTGAATTCTCTCACCCTCCCGCGCTTCTGACTGTACCCAGTGCTTGTATAAATAAATAAGTAAATCTTAAAAAAAAAGGTATTAAAATGCAAACTTGTTTTTTTTTTTATTTTTAATCCTGAAAACAACAACAACAAAAATACATGAGATAAACTTTCAACTATTTACATGGCCTCCAAATTAAATATTTTTTGGCAGAAGAGAAAGCCAGTGTGCAGCGACACTGATGGAAGGTGTTGCCTTCTCAGCCAATCATACTGTTTGGGCTTCCTTCAGTTTTACATTATTGGAGAGTTAGATGGATCCAACCAGAAAATGGAAGAATTGGTAGTCTTGAGGAAATTTTTTGGCATGGTGGTTTTAACAGAAAACTGATAGGCATAAAATGTAGTAAAACCTGTTTTTGTTTTTTTTTTAAGATATTTTTATTACCAAAGACACTAAACCAAATACATGGGCTCTACAAGCTAGTTATTTGCTTATGGTAGACTGA